ATTATTATGCACACACTAATTCCTTGTTTATTAAATCTAAAACACTAAAGTTTTACGATCTTGTTGATCTAAACATTGCAATTGTAATGTATAAGGCCCATAATCACCTGCTGCCTCAGCGTATCCAAGACCGGTTCAAACCCAGGGAGAGTACATACCATCTCAGAGGCTCCAAAGTTTTCCAAAAACCAAATGTAAGAACTAATATTAAGGGTCACTGTATATCTGTGAGGGGGGTTCAGCTTTGGAATGGCCTGGACGAGGCCTCAAAAAGCTCTATCTCTATTCAACAATTTAAAAAAACCTTCAAAATAAATGCTCTGGAAAAATACATTGAACAAAAAGAAACTTAGTACCATAATAATAAAAATAGTAATATTTGAAAATAATATCAAATAATACATAATAATATTCATAATAAATAATATGTAGATATGTACGTATGTGTATCTATATGTATGTATATGTACATGTGGGTATATGTATATCTATGTGTATATATGTGTGTGTATGTATATATGTATGTGTATATATGTGTATGGATAAATGTGTATTATATTAATGTACGTATGTGAATTATGTATATATCAAGGTATGTATGTGTAAGTGTTATGCATTTGATTAGCAATAGGGGGTAGGCCCAGATAAGCTGTTTCAGCTTCTGCCAACTCCCTTTTGGGCTATTTTTTATTTATTTTTTTCTTCTTCACATTATTATTCTTTTGTCTTCTAAATGCCCAAATAAAAAAAAAAAAAAAAAAAAATATATATATATATATATATATATATATATTTATTCCTATATTTTCTCGTCTCATTTTATTTCTTCATTTTCTGTCATATTATCTTACGTACGCCTGTCCAATGAGAGCACAACAACACGGTGACGCGAGCTTGAGCTCTGCGCATGCGTACTGAGCAGACAGCTGATAGCTCCTGATGCTAGTCTGATGCTACGGGGCTAAATACAAAAGCCACGGAACACGGAGCGCGGACAGAAGGGAGCAGCGCAGCGCCTCTACGCAAAGTAAAGCCGTGTGTTTGCGCCTTTAGGGAAGTGTTTGCACGGATAACAGGTCGCGGGGAGCAGAGACGTGTGCGGATTGCAGCGATGAGTTTTCTGGGTGGAAGCTCGACTCGGCGCCTTTAGACAAAGCTCGGGCTAATGGCTAATGGGCTAACAGCTAAACACACGCAAAGACGCTGCTTTTACTCGCTCTAACTAATGCACTGTTTTAATAATGCCACGAATTAAACCTTGCAGTGTGTAAAATGCCGTATTATATGTGAGTTAGTAGTATAATGCGTGTTTAGTTGCGTAAATATTTGCTTTTACACCATACAATGTGTTGGAAACAGCCCCGTTTTCGCTGTGAACTCTTAGCATTAGCTGTAGAGCTAATGTCGCTAACTGTGTTCTGCCCGCCATCTTTTTAAAGCGAGAAAAACGGGACGTGTGATCGACCGCGACACACTGATCCGAGCCGTGTTGCCTTGGCCGGGCCCGGAACTCCTCACGGCTGCAATACCGATCCATGTGGATCTCCTTGCACCAGATAATCGCGCGTTTGACCAGATTTATGCTTAGCGAGGAGGCGGGCAGCTGATTGCATTAGCCGCATTCGGAAGCATAACTCATGTCGGTCTCCCAGCGGCTGCCGTGCAAACACTTCCAGGCGGAATAATAAAGTATACAAACATCTCCGTGTGAAGTAAAATGTCAACATGAGTTCATGTGATGTAGCACATTTGATCTGAGCCCCGTTTGTTGTCATTTAGGAGGAAATCTAATGTCAAACGGGGAACATTTCTGTGACTCTCCTAAGGTGTTTGGATTCTTTAACGTGTGTATATTGAAATTAGATTTATTGTTGTAAGCCCCCGCCCTTTTTTAATGAACGAGACATATGTAGTCAATTGTATGGTTGATTTGTGGTGTATTTCCCATTTAGAAGATGTGTTGTGGTCGTTCCTGTCCTTTTTTTGGCTATATACAATTACAAATATACAATTTGCATTGGGGGAAGAAATCGAATTTAAATGTGTTTTTACTTTTTAAATGGCTGTCGCTTTAGCATACACACTTGTTTTGTAGGTACTTTTACACTCTTTAACGGGTAGTACTTCTTGTCATTGCCATTTCCAATTTGGACATCAATGCACTAAAGTGATACATTTTATTTCCCTTATAAGTAGTCGGCGATTGTGCTTGGACATCTAAAGTGAAATGCTGTTTTGGCTCTACAATGATTTTAACTTTTGGTCATTTGTATGATTTGATCATTGGCTAAACTTTTGCTGATTTGAAGTGAATGTATGTTTGTATTCAACATAATGTCTCCTCAATCATAATCTGTCATCATTTCCCAAGTATTCTTAAACAATAATGAAGGAATTGTTTACATTGGAAAAATCCATAAATTGCAAACCATGTGATGAAAATTGTCTATCAATGGTTTTGATAATTCCTCGTTTCTTTAATGATCCCTATATTGATTTTTCGAGATAATGCCACAAATGTTTCTAAATTAGTACCATAGTGTGTCAGGATAAATGTATCCCTTGGGGTTACTAAAGCATCTCTTAAATTATGTGGTTTATCAAGAAAATGCATACATTCTGCACGTGGATCAAAGTAGGGCTACTAGACTTTTTCCTGATTAGCCAACTAATCAGCTTAAAAAAAACACTTCTGTATAATTGGTATGTAGGCCTAAATAATACTGCTGCAGTGCCCTAGTGAATACATCCCAGCAGCAAAGCATGTTTGTTTGATTACACCTATAACTGGGGTGCTCACACTATCCAATCAAGAGCTACTTTTCCAGTAAGTTGGGATTTACCTCAGTTTTATTGTGGGAAATTAATCAGGAATCTGAAACTTGGTGCTACGGCATTCATGATGCACCTGTGACAATGCCCATGACAAAGTAGAGCAATCTGTTTTAATTCATAGTCATTCACTTGTGCTTGTGTAAGTAAACTAGTATATTTTGTACGTGGTTTCACTTTCATTGAGGTCTAGGTGTTTGTGTGTGCAGGGGCTTTTGGTGTGTGGTGCTGTCAAGGACAACGAGCGCGCGTGCGTTTTTGATATGAAACACGTGTGAAATGGCCATGAGGACGGGCCGATATGCAGTTTGCAAGTGATACCGGTATATATGTTAGCGGAGGTACGAATCTGTAAAACTGAGCGCATTTGTGTCTATGTGCACTGGTGATGTTTACTTTTGTTTTGAACGCCTGGAGAAACGACGCGAGTCCGAGTCAGAGTCAAGTCTGAGTCTCAAGGGACGAGTCGAGTCTTAATACTTGTGCTACCCTCGGTAAAATGAGCCACCATAGTGATTAAAAATAAATGGTCCAAAGGGCCCAGGGCGGATAAAGTTAGAAAAATTCAGCGCGAAAATAAAGAAATGAGGGTATTTTTTAAATCAGGGTTAGTTATCCTCGGGTCAATTTGACCGAGGATAGCACATGGGTTCGAGTTGTGTCACTTAAAAAATGGCAACTTAAGCCAGACTTGCGAATCCCCCATCCCTGGTGTAGCCTAAATAGGGAAATTAAACTGCCTTTTACTCACATCAACATCACAGACCAATAAGTATGCTTAGGTAGGGGAGGCAAGGCATGGGCAGCTGAAGTGTCTAGATAATCAAATTTCTAACAGTGGCTTTGAATTTCTACAGGGAAAGTATTGATACATTGAATATTTAGACCAATCATTTTTTATCTTATCCTTCTGGGTGTTTTTTGTCTATTGACTTTTTACATTATGGCAGTATTTTAAATACATGTCTTTTTGAATATGGGTTTGGGAGTTATTTTAGGTAGGTTTTTTCTGAAGAAATCTGTAGTTATGCTTAGATTGAAGGGTAGTTTTGCAGGCTGATTTACTTTTATTTTACAATCTTAAACCCAAAATTTCACTTGGTCTTTTGGGTTCATTGTTTACAGTAAAATAAATGATATCGATTAGTTGTTTTGCTGAAAAAATGCCTTAAAATTTTGCCTAACATACATGTTTAGGTTGATGGCCCATATATAAAAAAAGATCTCCATCCATCATCCACCTCTACACTTTTCTAACCCTGTGTGCTGTTGTGTTGCAGGTTATGCGATGGACAGTTGTTTTGGGAGAAACTTGGATCTGAACTGAACTAAAACTCTTGAGTGTGTGGCTCTGAACTCTCCACAAGCAGTAAGAATCTTTTTCTGTCGGACTGCAGTCTTCTTTGTCTCAGTGATTGATATGATTATTTATATATATATATATTATTTTTTATCGGCGGCTGAAAGATAACATTAGAACATATTACGGAATGTCAATAATATTGTCCTTTTAATTTTAAACATGGGAACGACAGTGGCTCAGTTGGACTGAAGGCCCAAAGGCCAATGCTCAACCCCCACTGATGTCAATGCACCAATTGACATCAGAGTTGTGCAACCAATGCACAACCCCCACTAATGTCTGCTGTTGTTGTGTCCTTGGGCAAGACATTTAACTCCACTTTGCCTGAAGCCCCCGCTGAAAGATCAAGGCTCTTGTGGACCCCCTGCAGGAGGATCAGTGAGGGGCTGGTGCTCTGAATTGTGTGCCGCTCTGACTGCCACCCCAACCCAGAAATGGATTAAGGGGAAGAAAATGGATGGATTGATGGATAAGTTAAACCTCGCAATACAGTGTATTTACAGCCCTAATTACAATCCTGTCAGCATTATAAATCTCTGGGTAATGTGCTTTACGAGCAATTTTAAAAAGACATTAAGATAGTACATGAGTGTGAAAAGTCTGAAAAGCAATTGGCTTGGTATTTTAATTAAATGGATAACATTAAGCAACATTAATGTTTACATGCAAAAGTGTTCATTAACTTGTGCTTATTTTTCAAATAAATAATTCAAATAAAAACTGATAATTAACTTTCAACATAACTGTTTCTTGTCAGGTGTATACTGCTGTCCCAAGGTGCATTGCTGCGCATTGACCCAGCATCATGTCGGACGCCCCAGAGACGGCGCCTCCTAGCCCCCCAACCATCACCAACCCTTCCCCTCCTGAAGTCACCAACGCAGTGAAACCAGGCCGAAAGACCAATCAGCTGCAGTACATGCAGAACGTGGTGGTGAAGACGCTGTGGAAGCATCAGTTCGCCTGGCCCTTCTACCAACCTGTGGACGCCATCAAACTGGGCCTCGCTGTAAGTTTGAACTCTGTGCTGAAGAAAAGCTATGCACTTTTTATGACAACAGAGCTCCATGCTTTCAGTATTTTTAAGAGTTTGACCGAAAAAATATTACTGTTGCACTGGTGCACCTGGCGTTACTCAGGTATCACTATTTATAAATTATATATTTGTATTCTTTATTATTCTTCCACTTTTTTACTGCAGCCAGATATGTTAATAGGGCTGGGAATTTCATTGTTTTATTAATATTAAAATTCGCATATGAATATTTATTTTGACCAAAAATGCTTTTAATATCTTACTGGGTGTGGTAAAAAAAAATCCGCTGGCCACATGTGCGGCAACCAAACGGAGAGCCGCAAAGTGGTCACAGGGACACAAGCAAGAAGCTCGGATGGGCCCTTTCCTCTGTTTGGATCTGGTCCTTTTCTGCTCTAAAATGTGAGCTAAATAAACAGAGAACTGAAACAAATAAAGATTTATGCAAGTAAGTTTTTTGACGCGCCACTATATGCCAAAAATATGCGAGCGCCTGGTTGTGAATCCGCCTGTGTTGTGTTCCAGGCTTCTACCGCAGACAGGTATCTGAAATCCGCCCTGCACCCTTTGTGCGCCGCTCTGCGAGGCTTTCTGCTTTAAAAGACACATACTGTGTCAGGGATCGTGGTGTATTCACCCACTTACTGCGGCTTGTTGCGGTTGAATATTTGAGTCGTTTGATAGCACTAGTCAACACTAGGGGTGCAACGGTTTGAAAAAATCACGGTTCGGTTCGTACCTCGGTTCAGAGGCCACGGTTCGGTTCATTTTTCGGTTCATTTTTCAAAAAAAAAGTTTTGTCTTTTTAATAAACACAGCTCATGTGGACTCGGCTCCTGCTTTGACTGCCCCCCCTGACCTAGAAATGAATTAAGGGGAAGGAAACGGATGGATGGATGGATGGCATATTCCATCCATCCAATTATGTCTATTTAACATAATTAATGGAAAACAACACAAAGTGCAACATAAGAAGGCACTTTATGAGGATATTTACCCTCATATATTACACCACCTTCCTGATTCTCCCAAGGAGGGGGTCCATTCTGGGCCCAGCCTCATTCACTGCATTTGTTTAATTTTTGGCATTATCAGTTGTGACTGGGATATTAGTACTGGGCCTTTGTCTTCCATTCCTCCGCTGCTTGTGTCAGAACCTGCGCTGTGTGACTGTGTGACTGTCGTAGAGGGGGCGTGTCTTCAGCGCCAGACTTTTCATCTCCCAGTCTGCGGTGATGAAGTGAGCGGTTCCGCTCATGGATCTATTATAGTTTCTGCGGGACGTCCAAGCGTCAGTCGTGAGCGCAGCTGAGGATGCGTGGGAGAGTTGACTTTAGCCCGGTCTGACTGCGTAAAGGAGCTGCTTAAACGCCGCGACAACAAGCGGTCGTTGAGACGCTTTTTTCACTCATGTCTTTCTTGTGCCACAGTGCTTACACATCGTGACAGTTTTGTCGACTATTAATTATCAGTGTAGTTACAGTGAAGCCAAAATGCTCTCATACTGGGGATTTAAATGACGCGGGGCTTTCAAGCATCTCCGTTCCTCCGCTCGCAATGACCGCGCTGTGTGTGGACTGAACAACGTGCGCACAACATTTTTTTCATAAATCAAACCGCGGATCACGTCTGTACCGAACCGAAGACGTTGAACCGAACGGATCACGGATCAGTGATGAACCGTTGCACCTCTAGTCAACACATTTTGTAGAGGTTACTGCCTACACTGGATACCATAACATCCCTAGTGCATTAGCAATTGCACCAATCCCTGTTTATTTGCTAAATAAATCTAGATTTATTTAGCAAATAATATTTTGAAAATATCATTTATAACCTTTTTAGGAATATGGTTACGTTTTCATGGTCTGGAATGCCCCTTGGCCAAACGTGGAGCTGCTCTGATCTTCCTATGCCCTGTGTTTTTAGGATTATCACAAAGTAATCAAGAACCCAATGGACATGGGCACTATAAAGAAACGGCTAGAGAACAATTATTACTGGAGTGCGAGTGAAGCCATGCAGGACTTCAACACCATGTTCACCAACTGCTACATCTACAATAAGGTAAACTTATGAACTTTGGTTTAATTGGTATACATACATAACATGTGTCCTTATGTGAGCCGGTTTTCAATCCCACAAATTGTACAAACATAATTCTGGAAAACTGTCTGGGACTATTAGTAGTTTGATTTTCTTCTGCCTTCAGCCCACAGACGACATAGTGCTTATGGCTCAAGCCTTGGAGAAAATCTTCCTGCAGAAAGTGGCTCAGATGCCTCAGGAGGAGGTGGCTCTGCTGCCTCCAGCTCCAAAAGGGAAGAAGCAGAACAAGCAGCCAGCCGCCACCACAGGTAGAACACTTCGATTTCACATCTGCTCAGTATATGATCTGCTTCTTATGCACTACGTACACTACACACCTGCTTCTATTTCTTGTTTATATTTCTTCTATCCAGGAGCCTAGAGCAAAAAGCTGTGTGCTTAAGATATAGCCCCTTACATCATCATGTGTCATTTTAGTTTAGATTGAATTTTTGTGCAACAAGGAGGAGAATTTGTTTCGGGACCAGATTGTGACCAATCACAGTGGACTACTGTCCCCCATGCTTTGACAGCTCAGCGAACGCACAACCTAACGTGGTACCGAGCGCGGACCATAGACACGCGAATAGAACCATAGACACATGGACAGGACCATAGAAACGCGGACAATAGACGCGCTGACAGGACCACCCCCAGCTTGTTGCAAGTGCAGGTCTCCCCCATGTCTCCTATGCGCAACCAAAACTCACAAAATTAAAGCTTAGGTACCTAAATCTCCCCTTGCATTAAAAAAACATGTTGGTTATGCACAAATGTTGGGATCAAATCAAACAGAACACACCACGACAGGTGTCTTGCTTTTTATTTTGCATACTTAAGTGAGTCATTATTTGACTTTTTTGGCTGAGTGGATTTTTTTTCCACATTTAGTGCCACTTTATTGCCAATTTCTTGCTAACTTATTGTATTGATGAATATTTGGGCAAGTAACTTTTGACATTTGGCAAGTATAATATAAATGGTACTTGCCCGAAGGGTAAGTGACTGACAAAGCTTAATGTCAAGGCTTGCATATTGTGAGACACGAGCTCCATAAACAGTACATGAGCACAGGCTGAGTAGGAGGGGGGTAGTGGGGGTGAAAGCTTCGTGAGTGCGGGGGGAGAGCAGAAAGAGCGAGGCCAGCGCTTACGTTTGAAAATGTCATTTAGTCCAGCTATAAGGTAGGAGTAATTTTGTTTGCGTCAATAACATCAAATTAATGTATAAACTTTCTTGTTTATATTGTAAAACATACCAAAGTGTATTCACTTCAGGAGCACAGCAGACTCACCCCTTTCCTCAAATCGTCAGGTTAAAACTGGATTCACCTGAGGAGATGGGTGGAGTCTGCTGTGCTCCTGCTCAGGTTGGAATTAAAACCTGCAGCCACACCGGCCCTTTTGAGAACCAGTTTACCTCTCCTTTTCTAGATACTGGAGTGGTAGATACTGGTTTTGGTAGTACTAGATTTTTTCCAACAAAAATCCTTTTTTTATGACTATCATCCTGCAATTGTGAATGGACTAAAAGATTGTTTTACTTTTTGTCCGCAGTGAACCAGCAGCAGGCAGAGTCCTCCTCCCCCTCTCCCACACAGACTCCTGTGATCTCGGCCACACCTACACCTGTACAGACCACTCCCCCTGCCTCTGCCCCACCGCCCCCGGCCACCATCATGCCTTCTGCCCAGCCCGTCCTGAAGGTACATCTCCCCCAGTAAAAAAGCAAATGTTTGTTTAAAATCCTCCAGCAAACCTGACCTGGTTTGTTTGGCACAATACATCTACAATAGATGGCCATTTGAGTATTGAACAAACTACTCTTTCACATTAAAACATGGCTATTTGTCTCAGCATTTACATAAACTTGTACTCTTTTTATTGATTTTATTATTGTTACAGATGCATGTGTGTGTATGGATATACATTTTCAAATTTCATCCCTATGTTTGTTTCCCAATGTTATTTCTGTGCCTGTTAAGCACCCTGGGTTGCTTCTGCATGAATTTGCCTTACTTGGCCTTGTACTAATACTTCAGTCTTGTTTGTTGTCTCCAGTTTGACTGTTTCTGTTTCCTCAGCAGAAGAAGGGCGTGAAGAGGAAAGCGGACACAACCACTCCCACTACTTCTGCCATCTCCTCCAGCCGCGCAGACTCCCCCTCGGGCCCAGAACCCAAAACCAAGCCATCCCGCCGCCCCTCCGCCAAGTCCAGAGAGGAGGTGGGGGCAGCGGAGGCAGTGGGCGGAGCTCCTGCACCAGGGGTTGTTGCCAAACGAGCTACACCAGGGAAGATTGGCGAGCAGATGAAGCACTGTGACGCCATTTTGAAAGAGATGCTGTCGAAGAAGCACGCGGCGTACGCCTGGCCCTTCTACAAACCGGTGGATGCAGAAGCACTGGAGCTGCACGACTATCATGACATCATTAAGCACCCCATGGACCTCAGCACGGTCCGGGTAAGAGCTCCACGCAAATGTTTATTCCCATAAGCATGCATTTTTTGCGGTTACATTTCTGTTGTGTGCAATCTCCCCAACACCATAAACCAGTACGTCTTAACCAAAGGGCTGTGGCCCAAACCAGGGCCGCAAGTGATGGTAACTGCAGTGCGACATGAACTTCTAAATTCTTTGTATTTTCAATGGAAAATGCGCTCTATCTTCTTCTCAACTTGCGGAGGAGCGTTGATACGATATGCATGGGACAATGTGCCGTCGCAGAGCCCCTGAGACAGAGTGCTCGGAATGGGACACTAGTCCAAATCCAATGTCCCATTCTTTTTTTTATTTATATATAATTTATTAGGGGTTTAACGATACACCTACATGTATCGATGTGTCTCCCCTGCGATCCAGCTGCATCGATCGGCGTTCAGCTATTTGGCCTCGATCCTAGCCGCACATCTACACTACATTGTTTTAAATGGAAAAATGTCGATTGTATTGTCGATAGTTCTTACATTAAATCATAGTCACAACGTGCAATGGAATTATAAATTCTTTGTTGTCTGAATGTTAATCTAAACAAATATAATTTGTTTTTCGCCCGTGTCATCAACAAGCCTTTGGGGCGGCACTGTAAATTTACGTCACAAGCTCACAACAACATGGATAAATGTTGCAGTGAGGCTTTTAAACCTCCAAACTGACAAACGCAAGTTTGTCAGTCAGGAGATACTTCTTGTTTGTAAAAAAAAAAAAAAAAAGGGAGGGGGTAATCTTGACAAAACTATTGACTCTGTAGAGGTACGCTTCTCTTAGTATCTGTACCGACGCCACGGCATCGCTGGCAAAGCAGAAGTGTCACCCTAGGGAACAGCATCCAAAAACAGTAACTGCGGCGCAAGAGCGGAGACCAAAAAGGTGTTGCTGCTATTTTCAAAGTTCTATACGAGCTAAAGGCTTTAAAGCTGCACTAACTGACTTTGGGATTTTTAAGCCGCGGACTCGCTGGCCGCTCTCTTTCTGCTCCCTTCCCCGCACCCACGAAGCTATCGCCCCCCACACACACCCAATGTTTACGGAGCTAGTGTCTCCCAATATGGATATATCCATGGATATGGATTTGCACGTGAATGGCGTGACCATAGACCGATAGAACCGGGAAGCGCGGAGGAACGAGACTTTCTTTTGGATGGCTGTCTCGCTGTGTAAGCAGTAACCGGTGACGAAGACGAGAAAGTTTCAGGTTAGCTTTGCCGCTTGTTGTGCTAACTCAGCCGTCTATGCTAACGGACCTGTAGATTTCTCACGAAAGTGGGGGCCAGTGGTCCGCTGTGATTGGTCACAATCTGCGACCTGAAACACATTTTCTTCCTTGTTTCATCAAAACTTGATCTAAAATATAATGTCACGCCAGCACAAATCTGCGCAACTTTTTCTTCAAGAGGACGTATATCCCAATGCACTACATGGACATGGATAGCATTTTTGTAATGAATACAAAAATAAAGTCAGTTAGTGCAGCTTTAATATGTAGCACTAGAAAAGTTTTGGACCACCTGTCATGACAACATAAAGAACTTAGCAATACTAAATCAAGAACTTCAAATTAATAGTATCTTTTTTATTTAATATTAAGAAAATAATCAATTGGAATAACGGCATAGTCCTTGTTAAAGGAATAGGCCACCGTTAGGGCTGGGATAAACGATTATTTTTTAAACGATTAATCTAACGATTATTTTTTCGATGCATCGATTAATCTAACGAGTAGTATTTTCAGTTTGAAAAAAACATGAATTCCTTAAAATATATTGCTCTTAAAATTCAAAAATAAGAGTCAGATGTAGCATAAAACCTAAATCAAGCTTGCTGAAAAAAATGCATCTTATTATTCTTTCAGATGAAAATAATACTTGTTCAGCATTCAATAAAAAAAAAAAAAAAAAAAACCAATGTAATCTTGAGGGCTTTAAAGGAACAATATGTAAAAATCTGGCCAAAAGTGGTACTGCAGTCAGTCAATATTTTGTAGTCCTCTCCCACTCTCCCTGACTCAGGTTGCCAGATACACACCAAATCCTGCAGCAAACACAGGGAATTATTTTATCAGATGTTTGTCTGTCTCCATTCACATTGCCATGAGGCACGCTAATGTTAAATGGATGTTGAATTTTTTTTATTTTATTTGGACATTTGAGATAAAAAAGACACAAAATTATAAAAGCAATGTAATTATAGATCATCCAAAATAAATAAGCAATTGATGTCCAAAATAGGAGTGGGAAGAATGGATTCTTCAGCGTATCAACATCAGGGTTTGCTCCAGAGGATATCACCCTTCAATTTTATTTATTCCCTATGTTTTAGTCAAACATGTACAAGTCCCACATCAAAAAGAGACTAACATTATTTTAATTGGGGCACATGTGGTCTTAAATTATTCTTTTCACAATTAAGCTATAATCTGCAAAAAAAACGTCTTGACCTTCGTCTTTTACCGTTTTTAGAGCAATCTGTCATAGAATGTGATAACGTGCAATTAAATACAAAAAGGCCCTGCCTGGAATTGAACCCGGGTTACTGCGTCGTGAGCCCGTAGTTTAAACCACTAGACCACAGATTCGCGCGGTAAGAACAGTTCTTTCTTAACAGGTCATTAATTATTTGAGTCATAACGAGACCTTTTTCAGTTCTGCGCCACATGTTATTTTACCACTGAGATTAGTGAGCCGCGCGGAGTTCTGGCAACCCGATCACGGACTTACATGACACTTCCTGATTGGCGAAACGGTGGAGGGTAGGACATCAAAATCAAAACAATAACAACTTTTACGGGTCGTAAAACTAATTTTGATATTCAAATATCTCGGCTGAACTAGTGTTATCAGTTAAAGTTGTATTCGAAAAGAGCATGATTTAATAACACCTTTTGAAATATGGGGGCCTGACTTCACATGCAAATATTACATACTGCTACTTTAAGCTAAAGAGAGAGTGCTTTTCTAGCAAAAAATTATGAAAATAAACATTTTAGAATTCAACATGTTGAACATAGGCCTAGCTGACTGAAAAAATCAGTCATCTTCATTCACAAATAACAACTTAGACCAGGACACTTTCCTTTCCTTTTAAGAATACTGTCTGTCTCTTTGTGTGTGCTTGTGAACATTTCCACAGCCCGAGTTGTCCATCTCCAGTGACTAAACTAGCGGCGCTAGCATGTAGCGGCGTTAGCATGTTTGCCGATACAAAAGTACCGTCTAAAAATAAAATAAACAGATGGCGCACCTCTGTGAACACATACTGCTGTTAAAGTCTCTGGAAGGTCTCTGGAAGGTCTCTGAACACAGAGACGCTGCAGAGCTGCCTTTTGGAGAAGAACTTTACACAAAAAGTCGCTAGCATAACTCTGCTAGCTCCGCTAGCCTAACTTCGCTAGTGAGCCCAGGACTTCTGGACTGAACACCCCTGGTCTCTGTAATTTAGAGAATATGAGTCTACTGTGCTTGGAAATTGCGTTCCAGTGGCGGTTTTAACGCCCCATAAGACGACACTCACTACTACTACTGCTGCTGCTCGCTGCCATCTTTGTTATGAGTATGACGCATCGACGTGCATATATTGTATCAACGTATTTTTTGCGTCGACGTAATCGATTACGTCGGTGCGTTGTCCCAGCTCTAGCCACTGTTTTTACATACTGACATATGTTCTTACCTTACCTTAGACTAATTGATATGTACCTGTGTGATCTTTGTCCGTGCACTCTGTCTTGCAAACGGAGCACAAACGCAGCCTCTTCCACATACTGTATAGTACCAAATCAGGTCCCGTTAGAACACAGGTGTCAAAGTCAAGGCCCGGGGGCCAGATCCGGCCCGCAAGACCATTTCCAGTGGCCCCTGAGACGAATTTATATTATTATATTAAATAGCAACCTTGATGGTAATAGGCGACAATGGCATGTTATCCATTACTAATTTTCTCAAGAAAACAACCATAACATTTAATTCCATAAGAAATGTTAAGCCAACATGTAATGAGAAGTTAGTATTGTTATGTTTTTTATTACAAGTCTTTAATTACATTTCTTCACAAAAATATGAAGGAGGATTTCCCCTATTTTCTTAGGAAAGAACCGCCCTCTCCACCTTTTGAACAAATATCTCAGGTCTTATTTGACGAGCACAAATCACCAGAAAGATTGACAGTTGGTAGGGCCAATATTCTTGATGATCCACCCGAAAATCTTCCCATATACCTTCAATATTTGGTCCAGTTTTGGTTGGGTCCACAGTAACTGAACTAAGTCGATCAGAAAAGAATATCCAATCTACCTAATGTGAAACAAATCATTTATATAGATGCCTTTGTATTTTAAAAAATTATAATAAATGAACCCCACTTCTTTCAGCCCCTGATCAGCCCTTTAATTTTTTTTCGGCCCTCAACTAAAATGAGTTTGACACCCTTGCGTTAGAAGCTACCAAACTCTAACTCCAACAAGTCACGCTGCCTCTATTGACGGAAGTGAGCGGGAGTGAAGTCTTTGGGTGTTAGTGCGCGGACATAGCGCTCCTCGTATTATTACGCCTCACAATATAGTACCCCTTTTTGTCCGCTGAGAAAATCGACATGTTACATTTCTGTGTTACGATACTTTGTAGAGTAACACGTCACGTAACTGTATTTAAATAGGGACCACGTGGAAGAATTTGGTAGCTTCTAACGGGAGCTGATTTCGTACTATACAGTATGTGGAAGAGGCTGCGTTTGTGCTCCGTTTGCAAGACAGAGGGCACGGACAAAGATCACACAGTTACATATCAACTAGTCTAAGGTAAGGTAAGAACATATGTCAGTATGTAAAAACGGTGGCCTATTCCTTTTAAGTCTGTTAAGATTTCCATCAAATATTCAGATTCATTCTTATTTAACCACTACAGAAATAAAAATATATTACTTAATTTTAAACTCTTAGGTGGTGCTGTAAAATATTTAAGCACTGCATTGTTATACATCTGTTTTATTATTTTTTATTCATGCGAGTTATGCGAGTTTAAGTTGTTCAGCACTTTAAATCTGAGTTAGATTTCTAAGTTTGAATTACTTTAATAAGTAATATTTACTGAAAAAGCCAATATTACTGTATCGATAAATCGTTCAATTGGTAGAGCATTGGCCTTTGAGCCAGAAGGTCGTGGGTTCGAGCCCACCTCAAGACTTTCACCATCGACTCCCACTGCTGTCGTCGTGTCCTTGGCAAGACACTTAACCTCTGGGAACACCAGCCACAGTGGGGCGGCTGTAAAGTGCCAAACTGCCGTTGTGTCCTTAGGCAAGACACTTCACCCCCATTGCCCAGAATGAGTCTGGTGTGTGTGTGAATGGTTGGTGGTGGACGGCGGGGCCAATGGCACATACAGTGCCTTGCGAAAGTATTCGGCCCCCTTGAACCTTTCAACATTTCGCCACATTTCAGGCTTCAAACATAAAGATATAAAAATTAAATTTGTCAAGAATCAACAAGTGGGACACAATCGTGAAGTGGAACAAAATTTATTGGATAATTTGAACTTTTTTAACAAATAAAAAACTGAAAAGTGGGGCGTGCAATATTATTCGGCCCCCTTGCGCTAATACTTTGTAGCGCCACCTTTTGCTGCAGGGGTATGTCTATCAGTTTTGCACATCGAGAGACTGGAATTCTTTCCCATTCTTCCTTGCAAAACAGCTCGAGCTCAGTGAGGTTGGATGGAGAGCGTTTGTGAACAACAGTCTTCAGCTCTTTCCACAGATTCTTGATTGGATTCAGGTCTGGACTTTGACTTGGCCATTCTAACACCTGGATACGTCTATTTGTGAACCATTCCATTGTAGATTTGGCTTTATGTTTTGGATCATTGTCCTGTTGGAAGATACATCTCCGTCCCAGTCTCAGGTCTTTTGCAGACTCCAACAGGTTTTCTTACAGAATGGTCCTGTATTTGGCTCCATCCATCTTCCCATCAATGTTAGCCATCTTCCTTGTCCCCGCTGAAGAAAAGCAGGCCCAAACCATGATGCTGCCACCACCATGTTTGACAGTGGGGATGGTGTGTTCAGGGTGATGAGCTGTGTTGCTTTTACGCCAAACATATTGTTTTGCATTGTGGCCAAAAAGATCGATTTTGGTTTCATCTGACCAGAGCACCTTCTTCCACATGTTTGGTGTGTCTCCCAGGTGGCTTGTGGCAAACTTTAAACAAGACCTTTTATGGATATCTTTGAGAAATGGCTTTCTTCCTGCCACTCTTCCATAAAGGCCAGATTTGTGCAGTGCACGACTGATCGTTGTCCTATGGACAGAATCTCCCACCTCAGCTGTAGTTATCTGCAGTTCATCCAGAGTGATCATGGGCCTCTTGGCTGCATCTCTGATCAGTCTTCTCCTTGTTTGAGATGAAAGTTTGGAGGGACGGCCGGGTCTTGGTAGATTTGCAGTGGTCTGATACTCCTTCCATTTCAATATAATTGCTTGCACAGTGCTCCTTGAGATGTTTGCTTGGGAAATCTTTTTGTATCCAAATCCGGCTTTAAACTTCTCCACAACAGTATCTCGGGCCTGCCTGGTGTGTTCCTTTGTCTTCATGGTTCTCTCTGCGCTTTAAACAGAACCCTGAGACTATCAAAGAACAGGTGCATTTATACGGAGACTTGATTACACACAGGTGCATTCTATTTATCATCATCAGTCATTTAGGACAACATTGGATCATTCAAAGATCCTCACTGAACTTCTGGAGTGAGTTTGCTGCACTGAAAGTAAAGGGGCCGAATAATTTTGCACGCCCCACTTTTCAGTTTTTTATTTGTTAAGTTTACATTATCCAATAAATTTTGTTCCACTTCATGATTGTGTCCCACTTGTTGTTGATTCATGACAAAAAAATTAAATTTTATATCTATGTTTGAAGCCTGAAATGTGGCGAAATGTTGAAGGTTCAAGGGGGCCGAATACTTTTGCAAGGCACTGTACTGGTTGCCTCGCTTCTGTCAGTATGCCCCAGGGCAGCTGTGGCTACAGTTGTAGTTTATCATGACTGTGTATGGAGTGAATGAATAATGACATGTAAAGCGTCTTTGAGTGTCCAATAAAGTGCTATGTAAAACCAATGCATTATTATCAATGTCACTGGATGATGTGCCCTTAGCATTTCCTGCATTTTTCAAGCTGATCACACCAAACACCTGTTTTAAGGATTTGAACCATCACTTGTGGAACCATAGACTGTTATCAATACATTTAAAGTAGGGTCGATACCATAGGCTTGTACTCATACCATAGGACCCGATACCCACATTTCTTATTCGCATTAGCGTCACGACAGCTGTGCGGCACAAGTTGCCATGATCTCCGAAAGTCTGCAGCGAGAAGGCACTTAACGCTACCGCTTGAGGCAGCTTAGCTTAGCTGCTATCTTAGCGACAAGGGGTTGTCGGCCGTATAGCAGTTTTTTAAAGTAAATGAGTGACAAGAGTAAATCGAACTAAACGTTGTGTAAGGCAAAACTGTCACGATGTGGGTCCAAAACACGTATAACACCATCAATTTGATCAAACATCTGAAAATTCTCCACCTCGCGGAGGATAGCACCAGAGTTGGCACTGGAGCACAACAACAACCAAGTGTACAACATAACATTTGAAAAAAGTGGTATCGGTGCATCCTTTATTTAAAGTATTATTTAACTAACTCTGAAATGTATTAATTTCAAAGTTCCCTGTATTTTACCTTAATGTTCCCTTTTTAACACAGAAAAAGATGGACAAAAGTGAATATACCGACCCTCAGAGTTTTGCTACCGACGTGAGATTAATGTTCTCGAACTGCTACAAATACAACCCTCCAGACCACGAGGTGGTGGCCATGGCCCGAAAACTGCAGGTGAGTAACAGCCTCTGACACAGGACACTGCTGCATCTGCTGTGAGCAGGAGTCATTTTATTATCAGTGACAACCACAAAATGTAGCTCTGTTTGTAGAGCTGAAGTTATGTTCGTGTTCTAGCCTTTTATTTCAGCTGGAAGAAAGGTGTCCAATACCAACTGTTTGATTATTGAATTAGTGGATAACTAATTTAGTTATTGATTAATCATATTGAGATTACTCAATTTGACTCGGCTAATTCAATAATAGACGAATAAAAAATGTTTACAAAATATTTTGAAACAAGTCATCTTTATAAATATGTTCTCCACCTAAGCTTTGTTTCGATCAAATATTTAAAAATCACATTCACTGAGCTTTACTAATCAATTATCTTATACAGTCAATGCTGGGAAATAAGCAGTTTTTAAGTTTTTCATTAAATCAGCGCTATTTTTTTGGTATCGTGGGACATCACTATAATTTTACCTTCTACTGCTATTTTGTTGGTTTTCCAGAGTGTGTAGCCATCCGTACACTCTGCTCAATCATCATTTCACTGCATGTAACGTCTGGGTCTGGTCCCTGTGTTTGCGATTACAATCGGTTGAATTCCATCCGACCAATCAGAGCGCGGGAGGCGGGTGTTGTAGTTAGATGTGGGTGACGTCAAGAGTTTGCGCCGAACGGGCAGGTCGTAGTTTGGCAATGGTGAAGAATGCGATAGTATTCGGGTCTGGTTCTATCAAGTAATTGAGCACCTCCAGACCTTAGTACGAAATGTAATTTGTACTATGGTGTGGTACAAGCAGGCTAGTCCTATACTGTTCTAACATCCATCCACTGAATGTAGGTCACGTGTAGAGGTGCAACGGTTCATCACTGATCCGTGATCCGTTCGGTTCAACGTCTTCGGTTCGGTACAGACGTGATCCGCGGTTTGATTTATGAAAAAAAAGTTGTGCGCACGTTGTTCAGTCCACACACAGCGCGGTCATTGCGAGCGGAGGAACGGAGATGCTTGAAAGCCCTGCGTCATTTAAATCCCCAGTATGAGAGCATTTTGGCTTCACTGTAACTACACTGATAATTAATATTCGACAAAACTGTCACGATGTGTAAGCACTGTGGCACAAGAAAGACATGAGTGAAAAAAGCGTCTCAACGACCACCTATTGTCGCGGCATTTAAGCAGCTCCTTTACGCACAGTCAGACCGGGCTAAAGTCAACTCTCCCGCGCATCACAGCTGCGCTCACGACTGACGCTTGGACGTCCCGCGGAACCTATAATAGATCCATGAGCGGAACCGCTCACTTCATCACCGCAGACTGGGAGATGAAAAGTCTGGCGCTGAAGACACGCCCCCTCTACGACAGTCACACAGCGCTGGTACTGACACAAGCAGCGGAGGAATGGAAGACAAAGGCCCAGTACTAATATCCCAGTCACAACTGATAATGCCAAAGATTTAATAAATGCAGTGAATGAGGCTGGGCCCAGAATGGACCCCCTCCTTGGGAGAATCAGGAAGGTGGTTTAATATATGAGGGTAAATATCCTCATAAAGGGCCTTCTTATGTTGCACTTTGTGTCGTTTTTCATTAATTATGTTAAATAGACATAATTGGATGGATGGAATATGCCTTCCATCCATCCATCCATTTCCTTCCCCTTAATTCATTTCTAGGTCAGGGGGGGCAGTCAGAGCAGGTGCCGAGTCCACATGAGCCGTGTTTATTAAAAAGACAACACTTTTTTTTAGAAAAATGAACCGAAAAATGAACCGAACCGTGGCCTCTGAACCGAGGTACGAACCGAACCGTGATTTTTTTCAAACCGTTGCACCCCTAGTCACGTGCATCAATTAATCGATCACCGATCACTAAAGAAATGACTTGATCTGTGCAAAATGTGCCCGTGAATCGACAATATGAAGCCTCTGCTCTACGCCGCTCCCTGCTCAGTGTTTGTCGACGAGAACCCTGTAGATGTTTTCTTTTTAATCTATTTGTGATTGCATATATATCACCAAATCACTATTTTCTAACACCATAGCTTTTCCCATATGCAAGATTTTCTCCAGAAGGGGGATGGGGGGGCAATGGCCCTAGTGGAGCATATATCCCCCCTAAAAGTACCAGGACTGAACCAGTGCACCCCGAATTGACATTTTAGTCACTGGATACAAGTGCTGCTAATGTGATCGCAGATACTGAAGTAATAGTTAATAATATAATACATTGATGGTGCAGCTCCATGAGCAGATACTCCTGTAATTTGACGTCTCTGGTGGAGAACTTTACACAAAACGTTGCTAGCTTAAACTGTACTTTTGGCCTGCATTTGTGGCATCACAAGGCAGTACGTCAGATTTATTAAAGGCATGCGCTGGATGTACGCTGCAGCGGTGATTAAAGTGAAAACATGAATCAACATTTATGTGCAGTCCCCCCTTACAAATAATTTTGCATCCACCAAGAAAGGTTATGAAATATTTTTTACCTGTTATTACTAATTGTAGCAGGACACTACATCAGAAGTTCCCATAGTGTGATATCAGGATACCTGATGTAAAGACGACCCACAATCCTTGGTTTGTTGGTTTTCCTATATATTTACTTCTAAGAGCCATAATGAAGCCCATCTGTGGCCGAGGACCAAAACCATGTATGTATTATGTAAGTTAAAAGGATTATTTGTGTAAACATAAAGCAAGATTGTATCAATAACTATAATTTCATCTTGGTAGGACGTTTGTGGAAAGTGAATTAAGTCAAACCCTTCTGAAAATGATTTTTATTTTGCCATATGTCCTACTTAAAAGTGGCTGTGACAAGCAGAGTACAAACCCTTAGAGCCATTAAAAAGATATTGAATTCGATTGTGGCCAAATTTAAGGATGAATTAACCTTTGCTAAATTAGATGAAAAGGACCTTCAATTTGAGTTTTGGAAGCATGTTGGCGGAGTGGTGAGAACTCTCTGAAGGTTCTGTGTTCAAATCATTAAAAATATCTTTTAATTTGACTTGACCAAACCTGGGGCTTCCCCGTGTTATGATGGAGTCTCTGATGTACCTCCTTGTGTCTGTCAGGACGTATTTGAGATGCGTTTCGCAAAGATCCCTGATGAGGGCCTGGAGGCGTCTGTCCCCTCCACGACTCCAGTGGTCAGTAAATCCACCGCCTCCTCCGACAGCAGCAACAACTCCTCCTCCGACGAATCCTCAGACTCCGAGGAGGAGCGAGCCACGCGATTGGCCGAGCTCCAGGAGCAGGTGGGTGAACCGGCCAATCGCAGAGGGGCCAATCACAGACCATCCAATCACAGGGTAGGATACAGTTTGAACGGGGCTTTAGTGGGGACTAGATGGTGTTAAGACACGGATACAACTCTGAGATTGGCCTGAACTGTTTTTAAAGGTCCTATATTCTGCTTAAACTGTTTTTAGGGACATATTGTTCAAACATGTCTTCTGCAGAGCTTTTAACCATGTTATTATGTTTTCCATTCTCATTCACCATCTCAAGATGCATTTGGAGCATTCATGCATGAACTCATTGATACATGAATCCATGCATGTTCAAGGCCACATCGTTCCAAAGTTTTTCACTAATCTTAACTGTATATAATAAAGAATGGCCTACTTTTTTTGTAAATTTCTAGACATACTTGGACAATCCAAGAATAATGTCTTAAACATTAAAGAAAGCGCATAATATTGGACCTTTTAAGACCTTAAAAATAACTGTTTAAATGCTATATATTTAGTTTTTCATGTAAATGATGTGTTAATGTTTTTTTCTTGCTGCTGTATGAATGTGTTGTGAGAGTGATGGTCAGAGCAGCCTTCTGCATGTGTCGTCTTGTACCACACGTCAGAGGGCGACAATGTGCTTTTTGAAGCTAATGATGTTCAGCCTTCTGTCCTTTTTTGTCGGTTGATTGATTGAATCTTAAGCCTTAGTTTACCATGATTTGTATTATGTGTTTCAATTCAGTATACATTTATTGAAAGAATTTTATTGGCATTGTATACTTGTGGGCAATGTTGACAAAAATTATATTTGTAATGTATTTCTATAGCCTTTGTTACAAGCATGACAAATGCAAACATTTTAATGTTTTTTCAATGTTTATAGACTCATATCGATGAGCATTTGTTATGCTATAGTTGAGTTGGAAACACTACACTGGTTGGTGGCTGGTTGGTGGCTGGTTGGTGGCTGGTGCCTCTGTGCATATAGTGAACTGTAGAGGACAGTTCTGCCCTGAGACTCTTGTAAGAGCCAGAATCAAATGCATGTGTTTGTCTTCAGTCTTGTGCGCTGGTTTGGTCAGACACTAAGAATCACTGTTTAACAGTGCCAGTCCTAATTTTTGATAAATGTGTGATGGGCATAGTGTTGATCTCCTCACAATTAGCATTAATGCATTCACATTTCTATGCATTTCGATTGAAAGCCGGTTCTCAAGAAGTCACAAATGGGCAAAAATATATGGTATTTTTGTGAAGGTACACTGCATTTTAAGGATCAAGTCTAATACCACAGCAATGTTCCAACTGATATTTCTGTGTGTGCGTGTTTGTGTGCGTGTAGATGTATATGTGTGACACATTCATGTTCATTTTGCACCACTTCTCACTTGAGTTACAGCAGGGTGGGCAATACAAGAACATGTTTATCCAATCACAATAGACTGATCAGAGTTCAGATACAGAAGTACTTTTTTAAATTCTTAAAAATTAAAAACAAACTTTTGTAGTTTGTTTCATGTAACACAAGCTGTTTTATTTACCCACAGTTTTTTAAATGGCCTTTTAATCCAGATTAGTTATTGTCATCAGAACGAGGCTTCTTATATTCTATGTTCTCATGTTAAATGTATTTAAAACATTTACTTCCATGGTTTGAAAATCAGGCACCCAAGCATTACCACGTAAATGCTGTGCGCCAGTATCGCCCACCCCTAGAATGTCATACTGTGTCTTGTGATGCCTTGCTACGGCTATCTGGACTAAGTGCTGCTCTGGTTTCAGCTGAAGGCAGTTCACGAGCAGCTGGCCGTGCTCTCACAGGCGCCAGTCTCCAAACCAAAGAAGAAGAAAGAGAAAAAGGATAAGGAGAAGAAGAAAGACAAAGGGAACAAGGCCAAACTGGAAGAGGAAAAGAAGAAACCTGCAGCCGCCCCTGCCACAACTCAGCCAAAACCGGCCAATCAGAAGAAGGCTCCCGCCAGGAAGGCCAACAGCACCGTCACCGCCACAAGGTGCACATGCTACATCTAAACAGGACAGCAGCTCCATTTACACACACAGGCTGTCAAGTAGACAGGGTAGTAGTTGCTGCAGGAATGAACTCTTAACATGTTTTTTCCCCTGCAGACAACCCAAAAAGGGTGGTAAAACTGGTGGCTCTGCGAACGGAGAGGAGGGAGAAGAGTCTTCCTTGCCCATGACTTATGACGAGAAGCGGCAGCTCAGCTTGGACATAAACCGTTTACCAGGAGAGAAGCTGGGGCGCGTTGTGCACATCATCCAGTCCAGAGAACCGTCGCTTCGAGACTCCAACCCCGATGAGATAGAGATCGACTTCGAGACGCTCAAACCCTCTACGCTGAGAGAGCTGGAGAGATACGTCAAATCCTGCCTGCAGAAGAAGCAGCGGAAACTCATGCGTGAGTACTCACACGGCCCTGTAGAGGGCAGTACAGAATGTGAATGTGCTTATGCCCATCACACACGTCTCAATTCATTGAACTTGATATGAAAGACACGCATCTTTTAAACAAGGTCCTACTGCAGCCTGTGCCTGAGCATAAACCAAGCCATGGAAGTCAAAAGAGTAAAGACCTCAGAGTTGATTGTATCAAGGCACATGTCTCCAAAACATTTATCAATTTTCGGGCACAAAGAATCTTCTAGAGGTGTCCTCTGGCAAAACTGAGCAACCAAGGGAGAAGAGCAGGTGACCTCTGAGGAGAGGGGAAAACATTCATCAGGGCAGGCATCTCCACAGCGCTCAGGGTTAGGCCTACTTGTGGAATGGTCAGACCATAAAATGCATCCTGTCAACTTCCCCACTCTGTCTTGACAATAAAGCACTGTCACTATGATGTGTATGTAGATTTGGCTTTTATGAATCAGATCCTCATCATGTTTTCTTTTCTGTTGTTGCAGAGAAAGCGGCTGGGGGCGGGGCCTCTGGTGCCGGGGGCGGAGCCAGTAGGTTGAGTGGCAGCTCGTCCTCCTCCTCAGACGACAGCTCGTCCACGGGAAGCTCCTCCTCCTCCGACACAGACTGAACAGACTCTGTACATATGCCCCGTTTTTAGAGTAGTGTTCTGTCCCACCTCGAACTCAGACCCCCGAACGCACCACATTCCACTGACCACAGCAGACTCCGGCCCCCCACGGTCCCCTATCACAACTGAAGCATCTCAGACCTCATGATGGGAACATGGAGTTAACTGGATCCAAGTATAAGATCTGTGATGTAAAGTCGGGCTGGGCCATTCGAGTACTCTTTATAATACATATATATATATATATATAGATATTTTATATTTTCACTCATATGCTTTATTTGAAAGGACAGCTGCAAATGAGACGAGACATAGGGCAATCACTCGCACAGCTGGAAAAGCCTGTACCTGGTTCTCTTTTACTAGTTAGATATGACGTAGACTCAACTCTTTGCTAAAATATAAATCGGTCTGTTTTGTATCTGAAAGATGTGAAAAAACACAATTTTTTAACATGTGTTGTGTCCCCAGTGCAGATATTTTAGTGTCCAAAAGAGAGCGCCATGTGCATTCTGCATTGAATTTATAGAGAATTTTATTCTCACAGCATTTGCACACCACCTCTCGGTGAAAGAGGAACAATAAGACCTGTCTTTATATTGCCTACTTCAGAGCGTTGACTGTCAGTGGTCCATCCACCTGTAACTCGCTCAGCTTTGAGACTGATTAATCTTCTTAAGCATAATGTCCTATTACTATGACATTCTGAAACCAAGTCCTCATACAAATGATACTTGTGTGAATAACTAGGATGTGATGAGTATGTGAGGAATAACCTGCCTTAAATGTGCGATAAGCAGAAGCCATTTAAATTTTTTTACACTTGAGCTGTATTCCTCCTTCCAACCAAAGCCGATCAGGGTTTGCTCACACTGATAGCCACACCTCTTGTTTCTGAGAGAATAAAAAGTCTCATAGTTGCTGAAAAGACAGGGGTTTTTCCTTCTAAATGCAGTGATCTAAACATGTCTGCTCTGGGGTATAAATCTCATTTTGAATGAATCCAGCCTTGCAGATTAATTTGTCTTTAAAGTCAAATGAATCTGCAAGGCTGGAGAAAGCGTCTGTATAGCCTCGTACTGCTGTGTGCTTTTGCCCCATGTCTCTCTTCCTTCCTCGCTGTCCTGATACGTATATGGCCCAGTCCCTCACAGAGCCTATCGAACCTACGGAACACCACTTAAGTTTGGGACGCGGGGGAACGGGTGGGGGCCTCTTTCTGACAAACTCACTCTTCAGCAGACTAAAGACGGACCACTTCAACTCCCAACTTTGGAATCACCACGGCAAACTTATCAGAATCCCAGACTTTTTATGGATTACAAAGGATTCTGAATGACGTGTGTCGAATCTGAAACGGCCAATGTTTTGACTGCCACTGCTACGTCAGACTTTTAATTGATCAGGGGTTGCAAAACATTGGGAATGATTGAGTTGTTTCATTAATCACACAAGTAACAAAAGATGATCGTACGGAATATCAAATGTTTTTTAAGGCCTTTTTTTTCCCAGTTTTGAGAAGTCATTTTTAATCATGAATATTTACCTGTTTTCTACTTCTTTGCAACCCTCATTGGTGTGTTTTTCCTCTTGCTCAATTCTAAACGTAGAATTGTTTGGCCGTGTGTGCTGTTGCCAGAGAGGAACACGACTCAAAACGTCACATTACCGAGCTGCGGTGGTCCGTCTTTGCTCGGGTCTCAGCCGGGGGTCGCGAGGTCGTCCCTTTTCAATCGTCTGTAAAAATCAAAATAATAAGAAAAAAAATGGTGTTTTTTCTTTTGTAAACTACACTACATGAGTTCTCTGCTGTGTGCTGTGTGTCCTCGTGCCGCTGTCTAAATGTCCCCTCCACACGAGCCCTCCCAAGCAGACGGACCCCAACCCAGTCCAAAGGAAACCAGCGTCTTTTGAAGGAAACCTATTATGCAAAACCCACTTGTGTGTGTGTGTGTGTTGGCTTCAAATCATGATCAAACATGATTTCTACACAGGCCTCTCTAAAGTATGGTCCTTCATTCGTGGTTAAGGGTCAAAATTAATATAAATAATGCATATCTGTTTTTTTAAGCATTCTCCTGCCTAATTTGTAATTCTCAAAGCAACCTTTTCCTGTGAGTAAGCGTGTGCACTGCAGCTTCACCTAATGTGGCAGAATTGTGTGTGTGAATGTGGACTTTTTGATGCGTTTTGTTTCCATGTTAAAAATTATGGCCTTTTCAAAGACCCATCTTTGTTTTTAATTTTTTAAACAAAATTTTATCTCAATCATGTTTTTACATTATTTATATCTCAAAGCTGTAATGAGTAGTAGTTTGCCTTTTGATTTAGTACCATTGTATTTGCTATGAAGGCTTCAAATTGTTATATTTTTTTAAAGAGTCAGGCCAAATTTTGTTCTAGTTTGGTTCTACAAATGTTCTAAATCCAGAATGAGTTTTTTTTTTTTTTTTTCATATTTATGCTGTACAGGATCGAGTTTGTTGGGGTTTTTGTGTAACATGTAACAATCCATGGGTCTCATACAGTATATAGCAGAAGAAGGCACAGTATGTTGAATATTTCATTATTGTTAAAGTTTGTTGACTAGATCCCTTTAAAACAAAATGCTATGGTTTTTGGGCTTCCCCTCTGCCTTTGACGAGCAAAAACCCAACCCCATTCTAGCTCCAATGTTCTGACGCTGGTTTCTTCTGGACACGTAGAATAAAAAACACACATGGCTTAAATTCAGAACGACTTAAGAGCAGCGCGTCACGGTTTTCCTCCTTTATTTTTTTTTTTTTAGTTGAGGTCGATGCATAATAATAGTTAATGTTTTTTTGTATTTTAATAAGAAAATAAAAAAAGTGAGTTTATGTACTGCATGCACTGCGGCCGTTTGTTCTTTCCGATGTTTGAACACTGTATAGTAGCTGTAAGTAGAGGCGGAATCGGGGCGCCGCGTCCACAACATTACAGACCTTTTTACAAAATATACATTGAAAATTTAACTTTCAGCTGATCCGGGTTTAAATTAGGGATGTCGCGAGTTCAAACTTTTAGTTTATTTTACTGTAATTTTTCTCCATCCCTGCAGCCATTGTTTATTCAGTTTTACTATTTTGATGACATTACTTATGATTCATGCAGCTTTAGCTTTTCATGTTTGGACTCAACGCTGTTAACTTTGCCTTTATGTCAGACGGCTTTTGTTGGGCTTGTGTATGGAACAGTTGAATGCTTGAATATTGTCATGACTGAAGCTGATGAAATGGCGCTCCTGCTCGAGTAAACTCAGTACTTTTGGTCTTGAACAAGGCCTTATTTTACGGGCGAAAAATATATAAGTCTTGTGCCTGACAGCGGAGGGTCAGATGTGAGCGAGGACATTCCTAGTTTAGACCCGCACAGACTTGTCGTCTACGTGGGCGATGGGTGGAAGCAGTAACCCGCAAGTGGACGTGGCCAGAGCTGCAAACTCTAGATTGATGTAAAATTACTGATGGATTATTTTCTGAGTTCCTTTGTTTTCATAAATAAACTCATAAACAAGAAAAAAGTCTAGGCTGGTTATTTGGGCTTCATACACAGATGTAGCTTTCAAATGTTCAGGTATTTAAGGAGATGGTAGAGGTGTTGCCATGGTAATCGTTGGCCATCTTATAAATTTCCCAAAATTCGCTCCTCTCAGCCCAAAGCGTCCTAAAGTGACTCACAAGGCGGTTTCACATGCACAAGTTGGTATGTTTACTAATAAGATTAAGACTGCATGTTGTGGTCCGAGTGGTTGAGAAAATGTAATTGCAAAACATAATGTTGGGACAGACATGTATTATTTATTGGGACAAAAGTTTTGTATTCTAATTTAAGCCATTCAGCAGAATTTTCAAATCACAGTATGGAGCTGAAAATATTGTCATTGATTGGTAGACACACACACGCCATGTAAAGATCTTTATTTCCCTTTTGACACCGACAGAGGAATACTAACAGTTATGATCAAAAGTTATGGCATCTACAAATAAGCATTAGTCTTGGTTCATTGCTGCTTTTAACACTGTATGTCAACTTTCACCTGGCTTTAATTCCTCAACCATGTTTTCTTATTGTCAATTTAAACAGCAAGGTTTTTCAGTTACTTTTCTAATGTTGAAGATGGAGAGAGATTTTTTCATAATGCAAGCAGTACTGTCCCTAAGGCCCCTCACCATTCGTCAACTGTTCTCCAGCAAATATAACTGATGATAGATATGCCAAGAAAAGAGACTTTAAATCATGTTGGTTGAAAATTAAAATGGTAATTCGGTGAAAAATATGTATTCCTAAAAAAAAACAATTAAAATGAAAGGGGAGTCCAAGGCACTTTGTATGATCCTGGTATATAATGAATGTCACGTCACCAAGGTACATGTTACCTCTCGAAATGAACAAAGACAATAAAAGTATCTGGATCACGTTTGCAGCAATGTTTCATCTGCATTCCAGAAGTCATTCTCAAATCTGGTCTGCATTTTAAACTCTGTCAGCTCCAGAGAGTTTTTAGAGAAGGGAGCAATTTGGATCAGATAATAACTTCTGGATGGGAGATAAAAGGTCTGCTGAAAAGCTGGTCCAGATTACAAGTAAGCAGATACTATTTTCAAACCTAAACGGTGGCTTGATTGGCACAAAATATTCCATATATATGAAACCAGTAAAATCAAAATGAGGAACGATTGATAATCTTTAACAACATTAGACAGTGAGTCCCATCCCTACTGCACAGAACAGATTCGCGACTCAGCCTGCGACCTCTGCTCTCTCTCAGGTACCAGGACGGGTTGGTTGCCATGACTACTGTACCAGGTTTGCTGTGAGCGACTCAGGTAGGAGTGAGGGGGCGTGGCCTGGAGCTGCTGCTGACGCCAGATCAGAAAGGATGTGTCCCGGTACCTGAGCCCACAGAAGGCCTCGCTCAGGGCTTTGGCGGCCAGAGGGGGGCGCTGCTGCTCCGACACGGGGCTCACCGGGGGGTCTGGGGTAGCCATGGGAACAGAGACGGCGCCACAGCCACGTGCGACATGATCCAAACTGGAGAGAGAATGAACTGGGGTTTGTAATCAATGAGATGGTGAAGGGGAAACGCTTGATAATGAAAAGTCTGTTTAAAAAAAAAAAGTATTTGACCTGAATGAAATGTAAGGTGAAGGAGAAAGGGGCTGATTAGTTTAGTTCTTAGCAATTCCAAAACAACTCATTTGTTTTTATGCTTCTAATATTTTTTCAACGTTTCAACTGTGCGCATATTCAGAATGCGCGCATATTCAAACTATTTTATCATTGAAATTTGCCTTACTTTAAACGTGAACATGATTTGTGACCAAAAGAGAACTCGGCTCATGTGGGCAATGTCCCTTCTCCAATAAGTGACAGTGATGTATAAGGCAAACAGCAAATGAGTTCAACAAATGTAGTGTTTTCAGATTTGTATACGTTGCTAGCGTTAAGTCAACATAACTAACCTACCTATAATATGATGCAACTTAATTTGAAGGAATTCGTAATAATACACAGTACTCTTGAACATGTATTGATTTCAACTAGCGGTACATTATACATGCGCATATTTATTCTTCTTTATTTCTGCTTACCAGCCTCACCAGCCTCACCTGCTAAAACCAGTTCTCTACAGATGGACGGCTGAGGGTCATGTGCATTCTTGTCCCTGGTATACTCTTGCTTGCCCCCACTTTTCACCTGATTCAGATCCTTCGGTCCTGGTTTAGTCCTGGTTTAGTGCGGGTAATGGATGCAGAAAGCAGAAACATGCTGGAGTCAGCAGGACCTTGATAAACTCTTTATCCCGATGCTCGGACAGCTCGTCTTTCGATCAAGTTCAGTATCAGTCTACGTCTTATTCATTTATTATCGTTCGGCCCACACTTTATTATATTTACTCAGCAGTTTATAAAATTGGATTCTCAGATAAAGCCTTTTAAATGTTTGTTTCACTGCATTTGACGCGTTAGCTCCCTTAGCTTTATTAGCACCCGATGTTCCCATAGCAACGGTGCATTGGTTAAGCCCTCCGCCGGAACACAGAGCAGACGTCCAAAGTTCCTTTATTTGTATTTCTCCCTCATGGGTTTTGTTTGTTCATTGTATTATTTGCAATATTTTATTTATACTTTTTTTATACAATCTCACTATATTTTTGGATGGAATAAATTAAAAACGTCAAATCCATAAAATAGTAATTAAAATGATAAAATATACAACATACAAATACGTTATATACACTCAAATTGAGGGATAACAATACAAGTTTGTACATTGTATTAAAGTATAAGTAATGAAAATTTTATGTCATAAATATTGTAATAACGCACTCAATAGAGGGCGCTAGCTGGTCTTCCTGGAGCTATGTTCTGACATAAACAAACCCCCTTTAGCATTAGCATTAGCATTAACCTTTTGGTAACTGGTAAGTCCTTTTAAACAATACAGAACGTGCCAATACGTTTATTTTAGGACGTACTTTAAACCCGTTTCTTCCAGATCAATGTTCAAAGAATTCCAAACTGCGTGTATTGCTAAAGTAAAGACAGTGTTACCAGAATATTGCTGTGCATACTAAACCTCGTCCAAAGGAGTCAACCCCAGATGCTTAGGTTTTTAAAATTAAGCTCTCTTCTCCAAAAATGTATATCTGTATCTGCTAATACATTTGGTAGCTTATTATATAGTTCGGCTTATAAATAAAATCAATTAAAGATAGTATTGCGATATTTGTTGGGACTACGTTTGAAGACAGTACTTTGAGGCTTCTGTGAAACAGGACAGATGCAGAAGCTTAAAGTTGCTGAAATGTCAATGACGTTTGTCTCAAGAGTTAAAATCCTTAATTCTCATCATTTTAGTTGCCATTAAACATGACATACTATATTGTTATTACTATATTTGATGGGTTGCAAGTCTATTATTTCATGCATATTATATTTTATAGTTTATATAAGTCAAGTGGAAGTTTGTGACCAACATTTAAAAAAAGATATATACTGGATTCAATGATTTTTGTTAAAAACACAACCTGCAAATGAAAATTTCATTTATTTCAGTCATTATTATATCACTGTAAAGGCAAAGGTCTCTCTCAATTATCAATGCTCCTGGACCGGTTTCAAATGTGAAATCTGACCACTCCTAATCATTTTTGATGCCCTACTCTTTTTCTCTTTTATGAATTTATGTGTGAATTGGATAAGCTTTGGACAATGTTTGCTGTGTACCTGTAGTCTGTCAAATCTTTTCTTTTTCCGCAAAACTTTGCCAAAGCTTAATTATAACCATCTGAAATGTTTTAGTGAAATGTGCGTCTAACTTGTCTTTAAGATCGAAGTATCACTGATGGAGGCCACAGCTGGATTTTAATGATGGTGAAACAGCAGCAAAGACGCACAGACCGGTAAATCACATGTTTAAATGTGTTTTCTTGATTATTTAGAATATGATGTTTAATCCTAGTCTGTGTATCTGTGTAGGTGTTTTTTGCCTGTGGGCAGTAATAATGTGACGCTGGTTCGATTTCCCACCCAGAGACAATCGCAGCACCCTGCACGTGAAGCAAATCATCCAGTTAGGTTTTCTTTCAATGTTATTTTATAATGAAGGGTTTATTACTGTGATTTTAAGTTTATAAGTATGTTTATTTTAGGCACCAGTACAAGAAAATCAAGATGGAGAGACTGAGACCAAACGGATTTGCATTTCTGGGTAAAAAACCCCAAAAAAAACAACTATATCCATGTTCAGATTTGGAATAAGTTTTAAACCATGTGAATCATAAATTTGAATTTCACAGATCAGAGGAGACTTTGACAAATGGAGAGGCTGATGCAGAGCTACATGATCCAATAGGAAATAACACCAGCTCTGTGGAAGGTAGGTTTGTTTTCCTTTGTTTGGAACATGTGTGGTTTGTTACACACAGAGATGTGTGTTTTGTGTTTCAGACCAGGAAAGTCCTGGACATGGAGCCCAGCAGGTGGTGTCAGAGAACAGCGAGGGCAACAGAGCTGCAGAGGTACACAACTGTTGGATTTAGACCATAGTCCTGTGCTCTGGATTTGGGTTTTGATGCTTCCTTGTCTCCTCTCCTTAATTCCCCCACTTTCCCAAGTTCCACCCGCAGAGGAAGAGAACAGATGGACCTATTCATTTGTCAGGATCTTATTTTCCCAAAGCTCTATCATCTTAACCAAAATAAGTAATTCTAACTCTACGTCTACCCTAGAACTGCTAATATAGCAATCAATGCAAGTGGGAAAGGAGAAGAGAAGCAGAGGAGCGAGGAGCTAAAGAGAAGTCTACAAACCCATTTCCCCTCAATATATAACTTTACTTTGATGGAATGTTAGTTTGAACAGAAAATAGAGGTCATGGTGCTATCTGTGTTGTAGTTGGTGTCTGCAGGCTGTCTAAAGGTGACCATCCAGAGGAGCAGTGAGAGCCGTGAGTTTGGAGAGAAGGACCCATCGTCAGAACGGTTCACCTGCCACATCTGCCACTGCTCCTGCCCCTCCGCTCAGGTCAAACCCTTATTATCCAACACAGATTCTGAGGCGCTTCAAATCTCACTCCTGGTTTTATTTCCTGCCATTGTTGCATCTTTGACTCTATCCTGTATTGCCCTGCTGTAACGCACCACCTAACCCGCCCATTTCTTTGTACTTACTTGAGGTTAGTGTTGTCATAGTTCTATATTTTTCTGGATCTAAAAACTAAGAAAAATTCTCAATACTAATATCAATACCAGGACAATTATTAGGTTTTCTTTTTCGAGTATCAATTTTAAGAATCAATACTTAAAATAATACTTGCCCAAATTAGTGTCTAGTTTCGATGCTAGTTTTATGTACTTGATACTCCATACTTGTAAACCCTACGTCAGATTAGTTTTTTTTTTTTAAATGCATCACACATGGTTTGAAATAATCTATTATCTATAATCTACTAATCCAGGAACAATCTAGTATGAATTATATTAAAATATTTGTATTGAGGATGGACTTGACAGAAAATATTTCCTAAAATGCAATAAGTGAATAGCAGTGTTCAATTTAAATAAGCTAAATGAGGGTAATAATGATAATAATGAAACGATAAAAAAAAAAAACGATCTCATCTTGCCCTTGTATGAGACGGCTTCATTTTTTTCTTATTTCAACACTGGCTCCTCTTGTGTATTTTTGGTTCTTGTCTTCAACTTCCTAAACTTGCTTTTTTATGAGATTGGATTTGATCAAGTTTAGTGACATCTGCTTTTTTTTTTTATTTCATCCCTTTTTTAAACAGTCATTTCAGCTGCACATGAGCGGAGTGGACCATCAGCTCAGACTGCAGAGAATCACCCAGAGCCTGGCCGTCACACAGCACACCGGGTAACACCGGGTAACACTGGGCAACACTGGGTAACACAGGGTAACCCCGGGTAACCCCGGGTAACTCACGGCTGGGACAGGCTTCCACTTAGTTTAGTTTAATTTCTAGATGTGCTCAATGATAGAACTAGAAAACAAACAAACAAAAACGGCTCTCAATCAGAAGTCTCACCCTCAAAGGACCAGCGGAGGATGAACTTGCGCAGGCTGTTACAGGTGCCATTAAGGCTGGATCACAAGAACTTTGAAATGATACTTTTCCTAACTGATTTTCAAAGTACTTTTGAGAGGCATTAGTTTGTGTTTGTGATAGTTTTGGCTTATGTCTCGGCTCTCCACGGTCATTCAAACACCCATCAGTAAGTGAGAATTGATACTGTAAATAACTGGGACATGTCATTAGTAGAAACATGACAGACTCACATCTGGAACAACTTATCATCTGTTTTTGATTTGTTGATTAAGAATTAGTTAGATTGCAGCCATAGTTGAGCTCATTTGATTTATAACAACAATTTAATAATTTAATAAGAGGTTCATGTTAACAATAAAGAAAACAAATGAATGTTGTGTGTGTCCTGTAGGCGGCGCAGTGGAGCCTCGGAGCGCTGGTGTGATGTGTGTCAAAGTCATTTCACTGGCGACATCATTCTGCACAGACGCACCAAAGAACACAAGGTCCATGAACGCACCGTCTCACGCCTCAACAACATTTAAAGACCAGTAGAAAACACTAGAATTTTGTTTGGTCTTTTCTTAATGTTTTGAGCTGATGGTAGACCACTCACTTCACACACCGGTGATTGTGCTGCAGGAGTGTAAGAAGTGCGGCCGTCCCTTCTGCCCCGTGTGCCACAGACACTTCAGGACGCCGCGCAAGTTTGTGGAACACATGAAGAGTCCGGAGCACAAGCAGCAGGTGCACATCATCACCATCATCATCAAACTTTATTACACATGAAACACACTTTGCATTCACTCACTTATCCCCATATCCTGGACTGGACAAGACTGACCTGCGAACCCAGAAAAGTGCTCATGGTCAAAGGTTTAAGCGCTTATGTCCAACTCACTACTAGAATCTAACTACTGTACATCAGACCTTCCCATCTGTTTTAATGAGCCACACTTACAGGGGAAACTGGGAAAATTTAGAATGTGTTTATTTCTTTAAATCAACCTATAATCTGAACCCAATAAAGGATATACACTTAGACGTGCATGCAAAGTGACACGTTTGTTTTAATGTTGATTCAAATATGCTAATTTGCTGAGATGTTCTCTTTGGTGTTTTAACAAGCTGTTTACCAATTATCAACATTGTAACAAATTAAGGCTTATATAAAAGTAAAGGTAAAGGTGCACTTTATTAATACATCTCACTTTGCATGTGATCAGTTTGTCATACATAGTTTAGTTTCACACTGTAAGTTGAAGTTAGATGGATAGATATGGACTTTTGGACGATATTCTAATTTTCCTGAGTTTCAACTGTATGTGACTTTACACTTTGTCCTGTAACGCTCATTCTTTACTTTGCAGTCCTGTAACATGCTTTCTTCGACTAACATGGCACTCACGCTTTTCTTCCCAGGTTCAGATGGAGAAGTCTCATGAAGGAGAGATGATCACCGTGGACGCTGTCGGCTGCTTCGAAACCGAATCCAAAACAAAATTCGCATCGGACCCGGGGGACAAGGAAGTAGTGGCCTGCGATGGAGCAGAAGAACAGAGTGACACAGGAGACATAGCACAGGTGACATAGGACACACGGAGAGAGGAGACGAGGAGGCACAGCTAGGAGAGGAAGTAGGAACCACAGACAGCGACATAGGGAAGGTACCAGCCATAGGAAACATAAATGAAGGTAGTAACTCAGAGCAGATAGAATCAGGAGAGGAGATCGCGGACACAGAGGAAGGACTGGACGCAGACGATATGAAGAAAGAAACGCCTCAAATATCGGTAAATACAAATGATTCATGTTCTGATGTAATTCATTTTAATGTGACGTCTGTGTTTTACTGTAGGAGGAGATAGAAACAGCAGTGACACAGGAGTTCAACCCACACACCGTCTATGGTAGGTTCCAGATTACATTTGATAAGAGATTTTAAAACTACTTCAGGGTCTTTCGGTGCAAATGTCACAAGTGTTTATAATGTATTAGCTCGCAGTAGTCACAATATGTAATGTAATGTAATCTTTATTTTATATACCGCCTTTTCACTGCACATCAGAGTCTCAAAGCGGTTTACAATTGTTATTTTTTTGGGAGTGGGGGTGCCAGTACAGGAGGCACATGCCAGACCTATTGTACATATTTTTAGTGGTAGGGGAAACCGGAGTACCCGGAGGAAACCTATGCAGACACGGGGAGAACATGCAAACTCCACTCAGAAAGGCCCTGGTCCAACCGGGATTCGAACCCAGGACCTTCTTGCTGAGAGGCGAGAGTGCTATCCACTCAGCCACCGTGCCGCCCATGGCTGGCATGGGCGGCTCATATGTTATGATTGTCCTGTCCTTGTCCTGTCAATTTCTTTCAATTCAAATCAATTCAATAAAATGTACTTAGCCCTCAATCACAACAGTAGTAATTTTGGAGGACCATACGAAGTTGTCGATTCGCCAGTGCAGATCAGAGAATCAAACACAGGAAATGCAATGATAAAAACACATATGACCAATGTGCAAAAATGTCCTGGATCATCACCACTATCCTCAGACACTCCTGCATCAGCAAGGTCAAGGAACAACAACAACAAAAAAGTGAGAAACCTCTCACGGACAGACGCGATTGTTTGTGTCCACAAAGTGTAGCAGCGGAATTTGTATATATATATATATATATATATATATATGTATTCTCAATTTGAGCCAAAATGTCTGTGATTCAGGAGATTAAGGAAAATGACATCAGCAAAGAAATTAACTTGTGCAATTGGAAACTATAATGTGGTGTCTTTAAACACACATGAGCTCATTTTTGAGATTTTAACCATGTTGCAACATTGTTTCCTCAACAGCAGGTTTGTAGCTTCATCAGGAACTTATGGCATAAAGACCCTGCTCAATCTATCTGAATGACGAATCATTAGACTATTGCATCATGGGCAGGGCAGTCTGCCTTTTAAGTTAAAACCAAACTGTTTTCTTTACATTATCTTTGTGACATTCTACAGTCAATATGTTATTTAAAATGCTCTGTCAGGACTGCAAAAATAAGTGTCTGATCAAAGCTAAAACAAACAAACACCCAAACAGGGGACGAATACAAGAACTAGACATGAAATAACATTGACAGAGCAGGGAGTGAAGGACGACACAGGGTTTAAATATACAGGACTAACAAGACACAGATCAAACATAAGAGCAGGTAATCACTCAACAGGAGGTAGAACTAACAAGTTACAAAATAAAACGGGAAATAAATCTAAACCATGACATGCTAGCTGTCAATAACACCTCCCTGTGTGTGATTAAGACTGCTCTCTTACTGCACTTTCATGTTTATCTTATATTCACCTCCTATCACACATTAAAACCCAACACCTATTGTCGGTGTGACTATTGCCGAGATCATGAGTGAGAGCGGATGATATTTGCTGATGTTTGTTCTGCAGGTTCTGCGTACGTGGTCCCTGTGAGAGGCTTCTTCTGTCGTCTTTGTCACAAGTTCTTTTTCAGGGAAACATCAGCTCGAGATCAGCACTGTCGCAGCCACCAGCACTTCAGCAGACTACTACAGGTACTGCAAATAATACTGTTACTACTACTACTACTTGATTATACAACTACTTCTGCAAATACGACTACTATTACTACTACTTTTGAGTAGCGTCTTTGAGTGTCTGGAAAACTGGGATTACTAGTGCTATTTCTACTACTGCCAATGCTGCTGCTACTACTAATACCACTGGGTTCTGTGTTTTACCACTAAAACATGTTTTGTTTTACTTCTCAGAGACAACGTGGACCAGATCAGACCCAAGACTCGGCTGATCCTGCCTCCTGCTCCACTCACAGTACAATGGAATAATAATGCAGTTGCATCATTCCAAAAGGTTAGGAAAAAGTCTCCTGTTCCTCCTGAGCAGCATCTATTGTGGGATTCCCTTGATTTTCTATGACACATCATCTATAAACATTAAGATGCACTTTGTTCTCAGAGCGTAGCAGCTGTTTCACATGTTACTGTTTTTAGATCTTAAAAAGGAAATGACAGCAGTCACTGTTGAAACTCACTCAGACAAATGTAATGCAAAATATCATTCATAAACTAACTGTAACTTAAATAAAGAACATCTCAAATGTGTTGCAAAACCCTGAATGAAATCACGTTGTGTACAATACATTCAACTCTGCGCTGAAATTCCAAAGGAGTTATCTATCAGAAGGAGAGAGGCTGCCATTTACCCATTTTCCAGCAGGTGGCACTGTTTACTTCTTGAACTACGACAAAAGAACCTGGCTACAAGTCAAGCTGTTCGCTTACATTCTGGATGGATTTTTATCAAATGTTTAGCTGACTTTGGAAATAGAATAAGGAAAAAATTGATACATTTTTGGAGATGATTCAATACCATTTATTTTGTATAGCCCTAAATCAGAACAGCAGTTACAAAGTTCTGGGTTCGCCAACAGTAGATCAGATAATCAAACAGTTGAAACGCAGGAAATGCAATAGTAACCAATACACAGAACCAATAATCCATAGAGAACGGAATGGGCATTTTTTTGAGAAATTTGAGGGAGGCCCATATTGAGAGGGATCCGCTCCCACAGATGGACAGACTATAGAACCAAGACTGAGGATGTAGAACCAGGACGTAGTATGTAGTCTTTTTCTGATAGACTACAATGGTTTTGTTAAGTCCTCTGAGATGACTTCTGTTGTGACCTAGGGCTGTACAAGAATAAATTGTATTGTAGAGCCAAAACTAAAGCCAAAATTTAAAATGTTTTTCTGTGAATAATTTTTTGAACTGTGAATATATGTGTTTTCTTTTTAAAACTAGATCCACAAATCAGAGTGTAATATTAGTCTCTTTGTATACATGTAGTCTTTTGTTTATTTTCTATACTGAAGAATTACAAACATAAAACATTCTCACTATTAATGCCCTAAAGATTTGTGTGAGAGCCAGACACAATCATCAAGAGCCTCCAAAGCATAGGTTCCTGTTCCTGCTGTAGATCCAGGACTGACGAGCGTCCCAGGCCCGGAGCTAGAATAGAGCTGTGCCTCTGGAGGTCTGTGCTCTCCAAGTGCTTTTCTAGTATTTCAATTCATTTTTTTCTCACTTGACAATTGTTGTGAGATCTATCCAGCAAAATACACTTTTCTTGTGAACTAAAATAATAATGACAAATATCTAACTATTGGTCTGAAAATAAAACCTATGTGGAATCATAAAATCCACATATTGTACATTTCTGAATGCATTTATGGATTTTAACATTGCATTAAAAACATATACAACCCTCGCTCTTCAAATTCTATTATTATTCAATATATTTCCACCTTTGTCCAGTGCTCTGGGAGAGAGGATTTCAGTCTCAGTCCATCATAGCACAACAGGGACATCTTTCGGTTTTGTATTCACATGTGAGAGAAATGTGTTTGGAGAAAACGGCTTTTGGAGTTACAGGGAATGGTGGATGTGAGTGAATCTCTGAAATGTCTTGAATTACAGCTGGATGGCTATAGCTCAAGATGAAAAGTTGGATGGTTGTTTCCACTAGGGCTGAAACAACTAATCGATTAATCGACGACTAATCGATTATTGAAATAGTCGACAACTATTTTAGTAATTGATTAATCGTTTTCTGGTTCACACGGACTCAAACAGAGCAAAAATGACATGAAAATGTAGTATTTTTGATTAAAACCGACTTTGTTTTTATAATTTCTATAATAATCTGTCTGTCTCATCCAATCAGAGCAGAATTAGCACAAAGAGCCTGTTATAAACATTTACTTTAAGTTTACGCCATCAATACGTCCTCGAGTGTTGCCACTTTAGCTTTTTGTGATGAAAAAATATTTTTTTTCTACACAATTCACAGCCAAGCGATTAATCGATTAATCGTAAAAATAATCGATAGATTAATCGTTAGTTGCAGCTCTAGTTTCCACATGAACGAAAGCTTATCTGTTGAAACTACAAAGTTCCCCAAAGATGTGAGTTGTCCCCCCTGGCCTACATTATGAGTCCCATGAAATATCCAAAGTGAGTGTCTCTGCAGACGTGTGGGTGTCTCCTGTCTGAGGTATTAGTGTTCTTTGCTGCATTTAGACGCCTCTTTAGTGGACCCCTGCTGGAGCATTTACACCCCATACTGAGCGAGGGAAGTCTGCTGACACTCAGCTCCTTTTGGGGTTCCGTTGGCAGTTCTCTGTGGACTTCATATTGCTTTTGTTGAACTGATTCCTGCGGCTGAGGGAAACTCTTCATGCGGTGTTTAGTAGTAACACACATAGATCTTTATGTTTACATCTAGTTTTCTATATATGGAGCTTCAAACGGGGGTAATGGCAGGGGCAGGTTCTTTACTTCTTATTAAAAACTGCAGGAGTCAGTTTCATTTCATCATAGCTGCAGTGGAATTCGCGCATGTGTTTTTAATGTTGAAAATGCAGTAGCAGACATCTATAAATAGAGGTCTGTCACTTGAGAGTGTGATGCTTGTTTTTTCATATTTTTCATATTTTCTTGCATCTGCACCTCAGCTTCTCCGAATAATGCCTACATAACATTTTGAACCCTAGAGGGTTAGGGTGCTGACCCTTGTCCTAGTAATATCTGTTTTACAACATGCCAGTTTAAACGGTTTGGAAATGGTTTAATCCAGTTACCAAACAAACCTGTGACTGGGTGCCTGGCTTCACATATTCCCTCTCCTGTTTCCTGGGCGTTTCTGGGCCTTTGAAATGATAAGTTTTCTTCTATTCTCTTGCAAAAGTAAATTCATAGTATTTTTCACACTCAAATATTTACTAATGGCAGGGCCCAAAACATTCTTTATCATCAAAAACATTTTGCCAATTAACAGTAGATCAACAGAATTGCCAATCAAGCAGATTAAATAAAGTTTACACATCTTTGTGTAAATATTTCATTTAATAAATAGTTTTTTGGTTCTTTGCATTGGCATGAAAGGAAAAAGTTGCTCCTTAACAGTCTGTGACTCACTTCTTACACTTACTCTTATTACTCACAGTAAAAACAAGACATGATGAACATTTTTGAGCATCTTATAATCCGGTGCGGCTTGTACAAGTACACCATTGCATTTCTTTCTAAAAAATTTGATCTTGCGACTCATGGTGTTAGAAAAGTGAAAGCAGCAGTGGATGAAGATTGCCATAATTTAAAATGAATATGTGAAGTTAAATAATAAATCATAATCATGTTAAAAGTTGCACCAGAAATGTCAAGAAGAGACAAAAAGGTGATAATTCTTTGTATGAGGAGCAGTTTCCTGAAGGCTGCTGTCTCAATAAAAACAATAACATGTTTATTTCTGCTGTTTGTCATGTTTCTTTTGTCCCTTTGTTTGAACAATGGCAAAAGTCTTAATTACATTTCTCTATTCACACACCGCACACACAGTTTGGTGAAAAGATTCCTGCAGTGAAGGTTAGACAGAAGCATCACATGGAGCCGGAAACGAGAAAGGATAATGGAGACCGAGAGAAAGGATAATGGAGACCGAGGGCTTTGTAATGGGGCTCGGTTTGTATAAGTTTCAAAGCTTGACTTGCAGATTGAAAAGGCTGATTTTGAATGACTAATATTAAAGGCAGATTTATTTATTTTTTCTTTTTGAATATTGAAAGGCTACTTCATGATGCTAATAAGAGTAGAGGACAACATTCCTGTATCTTATTTGTTGAAGTTTTGTTTATAGCTCTCATTTAGCATATTTTTGTGTATATACTTTATTGACATTAAGGAAGTATTTCAAACATGTTACTTTATTGAATTTGGGTTTGATTATTCTTTGTTGATATTTTCTAACAAAATGATTGCATTGAAACATCACATGACCAAAGATAAATATTGCAGAGTATTGTTGACTGATTTAGATGTTTTTGTTTTTATCTATTATTTTGGGATTGTTGTGGTTGTTTTCCTGTGAGAGTTGCCTTTATAATGAGGTATAACGTGACATGGTAGCATATCAGCCGGGTGGGAAGAAGTATTTAAAAAAACAAAATCATTTCACATGTTACATAAAATGACAAAGATACATAAATACTAAATCAAATATTAAATCCTTTAGCTCTCTTAAGCGGTAATATGTTGCAGAAATTGCAACATATTAGACCAGTGATTCTTGTGTGACACAATTTCAAGACAGACAGTTTTATACACTTTTTTCTATAATGTATTTACACAAAACAAGTCTAAAGCTGGGGGTGCCTTGAAACCACAGAAATGATCTCTACCACTAGTTTCCAAATGCATTATTTTTTGGCTTCTGTCACTTCTTTAGATCAGGTTTTTCAAACATTTCTTTTTTAATAATTGAATCGAACAATACAAACAGTGTACAAGTATAGAGAAACAAAGATACAACATTTAGACACTAATTCTATAATCTACAACTTCAGTACAGGTATCTAGAACAATAGAAGACCGGACGTGAAAAATGTCTTAAAATATGATGATGTTGTGGTTCTTTTTGTCACATTATGTTCCTTTTATCAACTTAAGTTATGTAAAACAACCCAATACAGCTGGTGCAGTTGTAACAACCTGGAGCTGAACGCCCAGAAGACAGTAGAGATGATTGTGGACTTCAGGAAGAGCACTGTCCCCCCACCCCCACCCTCCGTGATGGACTCCCCCATAACCTCGGTGGAGTCCTTCCGTTTCCTGGGCACCACCATCACCCAGGACCTCAAGTGGGAGCCGACCATCAGCTCCCTCATCAAGAAGGCCCAGCAGAGGATGTACTTCCTGCGGCAGCTCAGGAAAGCCAAGCTACCTGCACAGATGTTGGTGCAGTTCTACACGGCCATCATCGAGT